ATGAGAAAACCTCAAAACTTTATGCCTATTCGTAATTGACCAGTATTGGAATAAGTTTGGATTTTGAGAATTTGTGTCCCTGTGCTTGTGCCTGTGTGGAAAGGCATGCTTTACGGTGTACCATCTCAATGTCAAATCCCGGCTGCGCTGTGCGGATTTGTGCGGCTGCTGACAGGCCACCTGGGTGCCAACGTATGTGCGAATCCGCGAATACGTTGTGTTTCGTCAGTCAGTATCGTTCTGAAAATATTGACTGCAATAGGCTATATAGCGTATGACGGTTCAGCCCAGCAGTAATAACTGACCATTGATTGGGCGAATTTTGTGTGGTGGTTCGCTAATACATAACCTAAAGAGTGTTTTGCCGGAATCGTTTAGTAGCAGAACTGACCGGAATATAAGTAGAATGCAACGGTTTGAATCGTTAATTTGTTGAAACGATTGTTCTCTGAGACCACTGTGTAACTTTTGACCTGAGAATCACCAATTATAACGACAATGGGGAAGCAGTAGGCTGTACTGTAGAGTGTAGGCAACACTATATAGTTGGCACACTTACGGAAGCACACGACTTACGCAGTGAACATCTGCATCATGCATGTTAAGGTTTACTGGGAAGAGTGAGAAATTAGTCAGAATATAACTGACTAAGGAAAATAGGCGATATTTCCTATTGAGCTGGGGCGGAGAGGGGGAGGGGACGTGTGGTCAGCTATGCCAATAATTCATTCTCTTTATGCAGCTGTGTAAAAGGGCGTCCGTTTTTGGGTTAGACCTTCCCCATCGGCCATTTCCAAGTTAAATCGTGGTGGAGAGTCTGGAGACCTCAGCCTCGGTAGTCGGTACCCTGCGCGCTGCGCCACCTTGCGAAACATAAAGCAGCAGTCCTGACATCTACAGGCGTGACTTTTCATGAAAGCGCGGATGTGTTCGCGCTTATGCGAAGAAAATTCTTCCGAGTATGGTTGATAATGAGATTAATTGTTGTCATTTATTTATTAATTCATTGGCAAAAGTACCCTAATAAATCGGTAAAATAGCTTGAACTGTATCGTATTTCCTTGGGAAAAAATGACGAACTCATCCTAAGACATCCAGATTATTGGATGCGTTCGTCAGTTGTAAGTAGTTCAAGTTTTTGGGAAAATTTGCTTGTGGAAAATCATAATATTTCAAAGATATGCCTATTTTCGAATAAATTATGTATTTATCTGCATTGAAAAATGATTGTAAAGCAAAAGTGCAAAAGATTATTGTCAACTTATTTTCTCAAATCACGATTTACGAACGCACAAAACTCCAGCTTTTAATTTAGTGCGTGTGCGAATTGCGGTCAAGAAAAAATATTTAAACTGTCTATATTCCTCTAAAAACAATGAAGGATGAATGAGGAAAACGCTGTTTTGAACAATTGTATATTTATTTTTTCTTAATTAAGCAAAAGTACAAAATTTTCAACTATTATTACATTTGCTCTCACAAAACCCATCACTTTTTAGCATGACGTCATGTCAGCCAAATTTACTAGCGCCATCTCTGGAGAGCATCTTTCGAAACCTCCAGACGATAGAGAGAGCCCTTCGGAAGGCGTGTGCTGTATTTGGTGGTGAACATATGATCATCAGCAGATATTATTTAATTTTCTCCTTGTGCTTAGTGTGTGCTTCTGCCAGAGCACAGTGCTAGGAATCTTTGCAGATTTTCTTGCATTCGTGCCGGACTTTGCCTAATTTGAATTCGCGTCTGCCAACGGCGGTGGGCAGTCTCATGCTTAATTGCTTTTCGACATCTGTTTTGATTTTGAATATTTTGAAGGGAATTATTTTCATCTCATAGGCTAAATTTGATCGCTCATTGAAGCGTCAAGGATCACTGACTTTTTGAAGGTGAGTACTGATACGTTTCTATTTTTTGCCTGTTCGGATGAGGCCAGTGACACTGACAGCCCACAGGCTCTTGCGTAGTGCAGACTGCAGACTATCATGTTAACTTTTATGTGGCAGGTGAGGCGGGAAATTGGAAGCACTCCTAATTCTGTGATGGACAAATTTGCAATTACAATGAAAGCATATTGATATGTATGTTGTTGATGCAATTGTATGTAAGTTGTGCTGTCTGCTGATCAAATATCCACTCTACTTTTGAGTTAAACATATTTTGATTTCAACTTAGCTCCCCTAAGTTTTTCCAACTAATTTGCCATCTGAGTATGTCATAAGAAGTCATCCGTTTTGGCAGACATCCATTACTTATCATTTGGCTATAACAATAATGAAAAAAATGGTGAAAGAAGATGATAGATTATATCTAATGATGGGAAAAAGGGCAGATGCAAATAAGGCATGTAAAGCTAAGGCAGGTATGCTTGGTTGCTAGTCCTTATCGGATCTATATCTCATCAAGCATGAGTTATGCACCACTTGACTACAGTCTACATTTACAATAACATTATACTCTATTTGCATTTGAAATTTCACTGAATATCCTATTCTTACCATTTGGCTTGCCTATTTTATATCTACCTAGCAAGCCATAAATTTGTTTGGATGAAAGCATCTGAATTTGTAAGCATCTGAAGCATATGACTGGATGTAAGCATCTGATCTGAACCTCTTGGTATAATTTTATTTTGGGGGACTATAGTTGTTAAAACTACAGTGCTAAAGCAGGATAGATGAAGATAATAGCTTAGCTACTGGATATCTGCATCTTCTTTGAATTCAACAAATATACCACTCATGAAAAGTAAAAGGAGCAGGGGACAGGAGTAGCATTAAAATAACTTCAGGTCACACCAACAAAGATGAAAACGTGAAAGGTGAACATTGATGCAGTTACACTGCACATGTTTTGAAACCAGTTACTCCAATGTAGGTAGTAGTCAACACTTCTTTGTAACTTTGTGTTTAGTGCATTTTTTATGCTAAGGACTGTCTGAAAGTGTGACTGCTCTTATGTATTTCTTTAAGTTTAGGCAGAAACATACCCTGCTGGAAGCTTTTATGAACAGAAATCTATCACAGGATATAGCTATTTTTGTTTTGAATTTTTGTAGTGTGACCTGCCACAGCTCATCCAAAAGACATAAGTTTGCTTTATCATGGACAGAGTTGCTTTTGCCTTTTTCAAAACAGTGGCCATACTATGGATATCAGTGTAGTGTAGACAGTGTTTTAAGGTGCTCTCTTTTCCATTTTTCAGTTTTATAGATTAGTTTGTGTTGAGATTTACAAATATTTTTGATTAAAAATACTGAAAAGAGAACCCCTATGTTGTTTGCTAGTGTTCAACTCCACATTGCTCTCAGCATATGATGCCTTCATACATAAACATATTGTCTGTTGTCATGTCATTGTGAGCTGTTGATTGTTGAACTCTGTGGAGAAATAATGATGGGTATGAGCGCCAAGGTAACGAGTTCGGTGGCAATGGGGACATAAATGTCACTCAGAACTTGAGACAAATGGGCTAAAAATTAATTACCACCTCAACCAAAGACTCAAAACCTTCAAGTAGCTCTGAACAAAGACAGTACGGTCTCAGAACATCTTTTGAATGTCATACTGCGTGCCTGCGAGGATTGCTGAACAGAAATGAAAAATGAAACGCTGAATTCGCCGGTTTAAGGGACCCTCCCACCTTCAAAAAAGTTTATGAATTGGCATGAAAGTGATGTCGCTCGGTTCATAAAGAGCGAAAACGAATATCTACCAAATTTCACCGAAAAATATTCACCGGTTTTCAAGATATTAGACTTTTACTTTTGTTTACTTTTTTGGGATCTCCGCTGTTTCTAGCGACTTTATTTTAGAAGTGCGGCGTTTGCGGCAGATGTTGCGCGCAAATAGCATATACCACCGCGTGCTACAAAACGTTTTAGTCAAACATTTAAAAATCGTTAGATATTTGCGCTGACGTCACACATTCAGAGGGGTATTCCTAAGCATTAGCCCCTCTGAATCAAAATGCTGCAATTTTGAAATTCAATATTTCCGATTTAAGGCATTTCTCGATGTTGTGAGTGCCGAAACCGGTAATTGTGAGCCAGGGACCCCATTTTGGCTATCTCAACTCAAATCTAATGTTAAGGTGGGAGGGTCCCTTTAAGTCAATTGCCAGGTAGTAATATGCAATGTCGTTACATAACGCGTTGTGCAAAGGTCCTACCGGTAGTGTATTATTGAGCCCGTACCCTGTTACGTAACGGTTCGGAACATGTGACTCTGATATTTTTATCTTTTGCAAATTCCCATGGCATCGCAGGTATGACGTAGGTCTGACACAGTGCTGGGAATAATGACACATTCATTAATATTCCATATTCATGTGCAGATTCCGGGTAACGACGCCACTGTTATGAATTGTCGATGCTACGTCACGTAAGTTACGATTGGGACCCGTTTTTTAACGATAAAAAACTAAACGTCTTTGGATTTGAAGTAGCCACGTCATCAAACCCCATCACCCACCAGACGGGTTGAACTCCTTCGCAGCAAAACAAGCTGGCGTCATTTCAAAGTGCCACTCGATAAGAAGGGTTGTTTTGCAATCGGTAACACTCGATTGCATTCTGTTTCGCAAGCGGTTCGCTGGAATCATTACGGCCGGCGCCCCCCGACCGACAGGCAGATATGTAGACACTTGTTGATCGTTATACACTGATCAGGCGCGATCGTCACCCGGTATTCCAGTTTTTATCGGCTCAGCCATGATTAAGTCGCTCGCCCGACACTGTCTGTACACCATCGATTATCATTAAATCATTGCACGCTGGCCTAGCCATTGCCCAGCGGCTGGCCCGGGCGTGGCCACTGCGGCCCCCATGGCAGCGAGCGGGGGGGGGGGAGGGGGCAGTCTGTCGACCTCACCCCTTCTCCTCGCGCTGGTGCGGTAGTGTGCCGCTGCTGCTGCACTTGCCAGCTGACTTCCCCGCCCCCACCCCCGCCCGGCCCGCCTCGGTCCGCGCCCGGCCCGGCTATTCTAGTCAGGCCCGAGAGTCGAGAGCCGCCGCTGTGGAGGGGGCGTGCCTCACCGCGCCGGCCCAGACGCGTCCAGTACCGTCCCGCACAGTCGTGAACTGACCGTGACCCTGACCCTGAGTCGTGAGCGAGACTCGTGAGGTGACATCGCGACCCATCGGTGATTTCGATAGCCAGCGGCAGCCGTGAGAGGTGCGCCCTCTGTGCTCTGTTCTCGGCAGAAATCGTGTTGGAACGCTCTCCTAACTCGGTGGCCTTCGTCTAACGGTGTGGCGCCCAAGGTTGTCGGTGCGTGGCTCGCTGGCTGGTTCCGAGAGTCACCGTGCGGCGGTCTGGTGAGGAAGGCCGTGGCGGGCGCGCTGTTGGGTGTGGTCGGACCGCAGCTCGGGAGCTGAGCGAAACGGATGATCGGTGTTCGTCAGTGCACGTCATCAGCGGAAGCGGTGTGACGGGGCGCGCGGCGCCGATTCAAGGTGAAGACTCAGATAGAATTGTGTTCGGCAGTGACCGCAGTGATCGAGATTGGAAGACATTGACGAGTGTTACGAACTGAATTCGGGAGTGATTACGGATATCTGATCTTCTCGGTCAGTGATTGCGAAACGCCCACGGCAGCTCTGCTTCTGCAGATACCGCAGCTTTCATATAACTCTTCGTTGGATGACAAGTGCAGGTCTCGCCTCTGCCTGAGAAGACCGTAGATATCACCTGTCAGAGGACGTTCACAGAGTTCCGGTGTCCCAGGTCTGAGCGGAACAGAGCCGCCGCGGCTCGGCCACCTCAGGTGAGCTATAAATTGTCGTCCCATCCAGTCGCCACGCCGTCTCAAGACTGTCAACAGAGATGAGAGTGTTACGACGCTGTTAGCGGCGTGAAATGTGGCACTAAATCGGCCGACAGCGCTGACATGGAGCAGCTACTGGAGTGTGTAAACTGCATCATTAGCTGGTGTCGCTTCCTATCCCTCAGATGCTGGGTAGTTTGCTAGATCTTGGAGCGTTTCCGACGTGTCATCATAGCTCATGGGTCCATGTGTCTTTGAACTTAATGCATCTTTTTCGGATCTTTTATGATGTTCATATTTTCTTCTACATTATGCCCACTCAGTCGCTTCAGTTAAGTCTGAGCATTGCAGCGCAATTGCAGAATTTTACTTCCCTGAGAGGCGCTTGTCTGCTGATGATGCTATTATTTTGCTCTCGTGCAGTATTATGGCCCTGAGTCTATCATCAACCGGAGGTTTTCCGTACCTGGCTATTTTTGCACTCGCTCTGTGCAATAGTTCTAAACAATGCCGGGATCTATGCGGTAGCTCAGTCCTTCGGCTTCGGTCGATGTTATTACTAAAGCGTCCGATCCGCCTATCATCGTCCAGCAATGTTTATGTTGGGCGTCATTCTTTCTGCAAAATAACCCGTCTGTTGCCCGCGGCTGGTGTCGGCGGCTGGTGTTTCTCTCCCTCTGACAACTCATACGGCCAGCTGTGGCCTGGACTGGAAGCCGGCGATGGCCGCCACAGTTTACACGATTCTGTAAACCTCAACCCTCAGCGACTGTGGCTCGATCGTTGCCATGTGGCTGCTGTCATTCTGCCGGCATAATAAACTTGAGAGGTGTTGATTGCTGGTCCTCCTGGTCCATGGGAAGCTCAACACTGATTGAAGGGTCGAGACGGGAGTCAGATGGTGCTAAGTCTTTTTGACCATGACAGTGCTGACAAATTTCGAACATACATAGTTAGACCATGGGTGATATAATCATTTGATGCTTTGTCGCCTTTTGATCTTGGATGCCTGATAAGATTTTCACTGCGCCGTTATCGGGTCTCGGTGCCACTGCGGGCGAAGTTTTGTTGATCGTCTGCCCTCTGGAAGCGGCGGCGGATAGCTATCCAAGTAGCCACTTGCTCTCCTTTTCTCTCCCCCGGTGACCGCTCTGATCTCCTCCGTCCGTCCACGGTCGCCGCTGTCTCCTGGCCGGCCGGCCTTGGGTAGCGGCGGCGGCGGCCAGATTCCGATGCTGTTTGTGTTGGCCGGGCACGGTGCCGCCGGCGGGGGCGGGGGCGGCCAGGGCGGGGGCGGGGGCGGCTGGGAACCCGGGGCGGCTCACCGGTCGGCTGGGAGAGACCACCGGGATCTGGGACAGATCGGGCACCGGGCTCTCCCCGGGTCAGCGCGGCGACACGATGGAACTGGTGGTGACCCTCTCCCAGCTAAACAAAAAAGAATATGGCTGTGGTATTTCTTGTGGTCTATATTATATCCTACAGGTCATGTAACCTTTCTATATGTTTTATGCTTTGGCAATGGCACTGATGTCTGGCTGATGGTTGACAGGGCTGATCTTTTCAAGGTTGACAATTGACAGCCATGACTAAGCTACGACATTGGTGGCTCTCAAACAGAAAGTTGAATCGACATGAGTCATTTTAGTCATACGAGTCAGTCGTCCTTTTACCTTCACGTGCGTACATGGTATTGTGTCGATGCCACATGCGGCTGTGCCCCGTGTGGTACGGTTTCACGCTATCTCGTTTGCTCTATGCGCTATGTGCGGAGTGCTGTCCGATTGACTCCATCACTCCGCGAACAGAACGGATGCACGTATCGCCAATTGTTGACCGAAGCCGATTCGTGCCGCGAGTTACTGAACCGTCTGTGTCACGGTCACATAGCGTCATAAGTAGTGCTATTTGAACGGCTTTGAACACTGCAGTTATGCTTCGTTCTTCAATCTACAGGGGGAGGGGAGATATCGCTGAGGGCGAAGTCCATCGCCGACGCGTTGCTAGGAAGTGTTCGAATAAGGAACCCCTGTGAGCGTTCAACGTGATAAGATAGCGCAGGCTGGTCGGCGATTTCCCGGCATGGGACGCCACAGGGAAGCGAGGGAAAAGGGTAGAGTAGAGGAAGGGCACGCTTAGGGGAAAGGTCACCTCAACTCTGGTCGAGAGTCGTTGAACTTGCCCTTGCCCTTCTGAACTTTGTTTATCGTACCGTCTGCCTGCCTGCCCCGACTGTATGCCCCTCCCCCGCACCCCTGTCGTCGCCGACGCTGCGCTGTCGTCACCGACTGCTGACCGACGCTCCGCCCTGTTCCAGGCCCTTCTCGCGGCCACCGTTCGCCGACCCAGCTGCTCGTCCGTTGATTGGCCGGCCCCACAGTGACGTCACAGCGCTCATGACATCGGACAGCGCGTTCGCCCCAGCCGGACAGTTCACGGTGAGTGGATCTACGGCCAGCTACGCTCGTGGAATGACGTAATATTTTTATGACACGCATGGGGCTAGGTCGGCTGGCCTTGGCTCCTGGCCTCGGCTGTATTTTTTCCCGCAGTCGCTGCGCGGCACGACGCGCCAGCTGCCCCTGTCGCAGTAACTGGCGAGTCATGTTATCGATTGGACCACGTGGGGAGAGGGGAGGGGCGGCGCCCGGCGGCGAGTTTCCTAAGTGTGGAACTATTCATACCGTCGCCCGTTCGAGTGACGTCATCACTCGGCGCTGGCGGCTAGGTGCATGGATTGGCGGGTCCTTAAGTTGGCGAAGAGGCGGAGCCAGTTATCCTGCGTAAATATTTAGTCAGTCTTAATTTTAGCGAGTTCCCTAGCTAGAGAAAAAGTAACTTGTTCTACGTGAATATATAACCGGTGTTATTTCAGTTATCATTCGTGCATTCGCCCACTTTGGAAGCATATCTCCTACGAGGTGCTTGAGTTTTGACGGTGTGGTTTGTGCACTGCGTTTCGCTTCAGCATTGAGTAAATGTCTTCAGTATTACGGCTGGTGATACCTAGGTACTGCCTATCGGCGTTGAATGATGTTTGACACCAATAGGACATAAATTAGCAGGTAGTGCGAATTCATTATTAGCAGATTTATTAGCGAGATTATTAGCAGATTTACTAGCGGATTTATTATTTATTTTATTAGCAGGTAGTGCGGAACTATAGTGCGGATAGTGAGTGACGCCATCTGGACCGATGCTGGAGATGGTAGCGCCACCTGCCGCCACTTAACTGCTCGCTACTTGTAACAGTGCCTGGCTGGTGCTTTGTGTTGATTGTTTGAAGCGTATTGTAGTACCTTATGACGCATAATATAAGGTCACTTTGCAAAATGTGAGGAGCATGGACGAATTAATTTGTGAGACATTGATGCCTTAGTAACACATAATTGTTCCCAACACAAGCTATGCATTAGATTTCAATGTATTGCTCAACTTCCCATAATAACACCAGGGGCGCTAGTGCCGCGCGCCGCTAGCCTATAATCGTGCAGCGATTGGTCGGCCGACTGTGAGCCATGACGTCACAGCCTGCAACGTCATCTCGGCGAAGCTTGCACCAATCATAGACCTTAGGTATGCGCAGTTCCACACTTCGGAAACTCGCCGCCCGGCGGCCCACGCCGCCGCGCTGCGCCGTGCCCGACGCCGCTGCGGCGGGTAGCCGAACTGAAGCCTACAGACGGACCGATAGGTAGCAGCACTGTACCCAGGGACGCCTTGCCGCACCGCTCGGCTGTCTCGGCGGGTGGGGAGCCTGCCAGGTGCGATAGCGGCGGATGGATGGACGGGCGCGGCCGACAGATACGTACCGAGTTGCTATCGACTACCGTTGGATAAACGATGACCACTGGCCCGACAACGCCGGGAGGGGGAGGGGGTAGTGCTGGGGGATCAGTGCGCCACTTGGCACCGACTGCCGCGCCAGCTGTTCAGTCGAATCGAACGTTACAGACCAATTGTTCGTCCGACGAGCCGGTACCGTTCGGCCATTACCGATTAGTGAAAGCATCTTTTGTATCCGCTTTGAACTCTATGAACTTGGGTCTTTCCGACGACCGAACGGAGAAATGGTAACAACAAAGCCTGCTGCTCACCTTTCTTTCCATCCGAGCAGCCTTGGTCGGCATTTTCTTACCATTCTGTCTAACCGGTGAGCGTTCAGCAAAAATGGCGGCCTTGGACGGACACGGGCAGCGCGGTGGGCCGTCTCTCTCTCTCCTCTGTTCGCTCCGATCTCGGGTCGGTCCAGTGTTGTTTTGCTCTGCGCCGAGCGGGCGCCGCACGGTCCCGCGGCCGGTTTATCTGACCATGATCTGAGCGGCGCCGCGGCCTCGGTAGAGAGGGAGAGAGAGGTGCTGGCCCACTGCTCCGTGGGGAAATCCAATCGGTCCCCGTACCCTTGTGTCTCTGCCTACTGCCTCTGTGCCAGTGGCGTGTCTTTCCCCGTGTTGGTCCTTGTTCCCCGTACCGTTCGTCCCGTCCCGCGCACCCGACTCTGTGAGCGATAGATTGGCGGCCATGGCCGATCCCAGGGGCGCCGGACGGGGCGCGAGGACACTCCGGCGCAGCTGCCCCTTGGCCGTGACCCCTGTCAAACCCGCAGGCCATCCGCCGACACCGGCCGCCGTCTGGCCCCTTTGTCTGGTGGGCTCAAAGGGTGGGGATTTTCGCTATCGTGCATATGCTGTTGCACGTTAGGAATATGCCGTTTCGCCGTTTCGGTTATGAAATCACGATGAGCTATTTTCTGAAGGTCAATGACACGCTTGGAAGCGATCGCTGTGTTTTGTTTCGGCCAAGTTTCGCTTTTACTCTTACTTACGTAAGCGTTGTTCCAAAATAGTGCTGGAGAGTAACGCCATTACCAATTAATGGCACAGTGCCTGTTCTTCGTAAAAGGAGTTTACTCCGGTGAATCAAATTGTATTTGTGTCAAGTTTGGCTAAGAGCATCAAAAAGGTTACAAACGATGCGTGGGGCTGGTAATCTGGCTAATTGCGACTCACTGAGCAATATAACTATAACTGATTGCAAGCAGTTTTTTTAGTTGGCATTTTTTTTAGATGTTTGATATTGTGAACCCTCTCTCATGACATTCAAGCTAAACCCTCCCCCAGTCGCTGCTCGTCTAACGCGCCGCTTCTAATGCACCGCATCCTTTGCACCGCATCCTTCTTCTACATGATTTATCGCCTCAATCGGAAACAACATCACAAAAAGGCGAGCTTTCGTCGAATCACTTCCAAGTCCAAAGTGTGGGCGAGGTGCCGCCTCTGAAATAGACCACCTCTCTCAGTCGGAATATTTCTGTAATAGGCCGGATTCGTTCCATGTCGGTGCGACGTCTCCGGTGCCTGCAGGTCGCTGCTGTGGTCCGGATGGCAGGTGGTCTGGACGTGTTTGGGGCCGGTCAACTCGGGCTGAGACTCTGCAGGGCTCACATTTGCTCAATCCCTCTATGCCAGTGATCCGCGCTGAGATGAGGCAGATGCGGTCGGCACTGCACTGGTCGGCACTGGTCTATTTCGGGGCAGTAATCGCCACGCCATGTGTGGATCGCCCACGATCGTAAATACAATACAATACAATACAAATACATGTCGTCTGTGGTCCAGATGTCTCACCGATCCGGCATGTCAGGTCGGCTGTTGGCGTGGCGATGGCGTTCGTTTGCTGCCGTTGTCCACAGGATAGCCTGCTTTGTCACAGGGGTCGGATGGGGGTGGAGGTGCCTTTTTTCCTCTCCAACAAGATGAGGTATGGAATGGAATCTAAGAATGACGCATCAAAGGCATCTTGTTTTCCATCCGTTCATTCATTCATTCATTCATTCATTCATTCATTCATTCATTCGTTTACGCCCTTAGTTCAATCGTATTAGCTCGTTCAATTCCACAGGTAGGCACTCCTTCATTCGTCCGTTGCGTGCTTGTTCCGTAACTTCATTTCATATTTATTGCCATCATTTTTCTTTCCGGAATAACCTACAGTGAATGTAAGTCCGTGCCTTTCAATCTACTGTGGTGGTTGTTTCAGCTGTAATAAAGAAAACATATTTCATGAATATTTTTTGAGTCAATAAGTTGATAAGTTAATTTCACTAGTGCACAATGTTCGCAGAATTCTCGCTGCGCAGTATCTGCTATCGTTTTTTTTTTTACTTCCCAATACCCTTCTTGGTGCTGTTTGTTTTCTTTGTTATGTGCAACTTTTGTCTTCTTTTTGCATTTTGCGACCATAAATTTGCGATTTTCAACAATTTTCGGAATATAAAATTGAAAATTTGCATCAATATTTCGATCTTGATTATTTAATTTTATTTTTGCAACGCTTTGGTGGTCACCGGTTGTGTTGAAATTATGTATTTTCTTAACAAAAATCTCGTTTTTCCTTCAGGTGAAACTAAATCTACATCGATTGTTCTGGAGAGTTTAAACGCTAGTCGTGTCCGACCCTCTCGACACCCGCAGGTATCCATCCCCCGACCATCTCCAAGGCACAGTTACATCACAAACTCAATACTGTCCGCGTTCATGTAACATTTATGTAACGTTTGAGAGCACTTGGGGCCGGTTTGCCGACGGAACAGGAGCTCGCCTTCCGGGAATCGGGCGCTGGGCTGCTCTCGAGCACCGTTCGCCTCAGTTAGCCGTGTCTCTACCCGGCTTCCAGACGGTCTTGGAGCTGTCCGCCGACGCGGTGGATGCGGTCGTTTGTTAATTTCGGTTGTGCGCAGTTCTGCCGGCCGACAGATAGGAGACACTCGGCATCAGGGCGCGAGTATTAGGCATACCGGCTGCCGCGGAAAATGGATTGGCTTGGTGACGTCATAGAATTATTGGCGTGACGTAGGATCGGCGACCGAACGACTCGTTTGGTATCCCATGGGAAGCAGATTCGACGAAACCCGGCGTGGAGCTTTTCCATTCGATATGATACTGTAACGATTGTAAGGGATTGTGTGCCGGAAGCATATGGAAAGTCTGTGATGGGAAACGGGGGAGGGATGACAAAAGAAACGGGTGTGGACTCTGAGAAACCTGGTCGGGCCGGGAGCGGTAATGGCGGTGTGTGGTGGCACGGCTATGGTCCGGGTGACAATGCACGGCAGGTGTAATAGCTGCACGGGCCGTGAGAATGTGGTACTGGTGGGACGGATACCGGGGGTGGTGGGGAGGTGATGTGCCGGCGGGCGAGGGAGAGGGAGAGGCAGAGGCTGGCGGTGTCGCTGTAACATCGATCCTGGCCCGGTGCTGCGGGTCGGAGGAGGCAGAGTCGGAGCGGCCCACCTGTCGGGGCGGATCGCCCGGCAGCCTGTCAGATATACCGCCCCACCTGGCGGACCGGTCCTACTGATGATACTACACTCTCTGTATTACCTCAGTGGAAAGACAGCATAGTGTAGTGAAATGAATCTACATGCAGCTGATCACCC